GGAGCACGGCTTGCCTTTGCGAGTCGACCAGCCCGCCGGGCCGAGTGGCGTGGCGGCGTGGCACTGCGGGGTAGTGGTCCCGGCCCTGGCGCCCTGCCCTGGCCGCCTCCAACTCGAAGCCTCAAACAGCAGCCACATCCCGCAACGCAAGGCGGGCAGGGTGGGCAAGGCCCGAGTGGCAGATCGCGGCCGCAAGCGCGCCGAGAGCCTGGAGTCGAGTTCGGCGTTCGGCGGTGCGGCCGGCCTGCCCTTCCAGTGGAGGGCTGAACGAACCGCCCCGCCCCGCCCCGCCAGGCAAGGCCTCTGCTTCGCTGGTCCGCTCCACTGCTGCTTCCCACCCGCTTTTGTTTCATGACGCATGAGAGGCAAACTGATTTTGTGGAGTAGTGGGTGAAAAGTTTTCCAGCAGGCAGGGAGCCTCGGGCCTGGATGATGAGGGGAGCCGAGCCGGGCGGGGCAGGGCGGGGCGGGGCGGGGCGGGGCGGCCAGGGTAGGGGGTGGCGTCCATTCCGCGCTCAGCACCTCGCCGGCAACCCTTTCCATCCCAAGATTGGGGGATGGTTGGTTGGAGGGTTCGGAGCCCCGTTCCTGCCCGTTCCGGAGGTCGGTGCGGTGCGGGCGCGAGGCGTGTCTCTCTCTCTGTCTCCCTCAGTGCGCGCCACCGCGCGCCTCGGGATTCTTTCTGAAGGTAGTTAGCCCCCTCTCTCTCTCTTGACTCGTCCTCCTTGGGTGCTCTACGCCGCCACGCCCGCCACCCGCCTCACCTCGCGGCTTTACTGGATCCGCCCTGCGTGCGCCCCGCACTCCACCTCCCCCCTGGCCGCCCTGCTGTCACGCCCCGCGCCGCCCTGCTCCGCTCTGCGCGCACGGAAGCCCAGGCCATCCACCGCGAGGGTCCTTTCTGACAAGCACCCTTAGTTGTCCACCCTTCCCTAGCTCTAGCCGGGCTCTACGCCACCCTCCGCACCCCGCGGCCGCATCCCCTGCGCGCCGTGCAGGCCGTGCCGGCCGTGCAGGCCGCGCTCCCCTCCAGCTGCGCGGCAGCGCCTGCTTGCCAATTCTTTCCTTACTCCTTTTGGGAATGGATATCTGCGCCGCCAGTCCGTTACGGAGGGCCGATTCCGAGAGTTGTTTGGCTTTGTTTTTACAGCGAGTGCCAGTATACAGTGTACGCCCTAGCAGCGGCTTCGTGTTCGGCCTCCGCGTTCGCATTCCGCGGCCCCGGAAACGGCGGGGCGCCCCACCGATCCTGGCGGTGATTCGATGGGCTCGCCGCGCTGGTCACGTGGTCGGCCGGGCCGCCTTGCTCGCCTTGCCCGCCTTGCCCACCGTGCCCGCCGCCCGGAGTGCCGGAGCCGGATCCGGTTCCGGCTCCCCAGCTTGCGGCCCGCCACCGGAAGGAGGTCTGCCGGAAGTTGCAAGCATAGGCTGCTCTCTCTGGGATCAGACGCCGCGAAGGGGAGGGGAGGGGGAGGGGGAAGGTTTGCTGGCTCGCAGTGGCGGGGGGCGCTGGTGCGTGAGTGGTGGTTGGCAGTGGTGTGCCTGTTGCGGCAGCTTCCAACGCCCGAGTACCGAACCGCGGGACGCTGGCCTGGGTTAGGCTGGAAGAACCAGGCTCGCCGACCGGGCGCACCTGCTGACACACAAGCGTCGTCCGAAAACGGACAAACAACAACACACGTAGAAAATGAAGAAAAGACACGTGAATGTGGGTCGTGCACGCCAACGCCACGCCGCATTTGCCAGGGTGGTTGACAGGGGCCTCCCCCTCCCCCCGCCCCCCGCGGGGCACCGCGGGCCACGCCCTCCTGGGGCGCAATTAGGGGCGTAAAGGGGAGGGGAGGGGAGCCGCCCCGGCCGCCCCATGCTGGCTCTGTAACTGTCCCCACTGCGTTCTTGTGTACACCCCATGCAACGGCCTCTTTCCCCAAGTGTGTGCGGGCCGCTGTGTGTGTGGGTGTGTGTAAGGTGTGTGTGTGAGGGTGTGTGTGTGTGGGTGTGTGTGTGCGTGCGTGGGTGAATCGGGCAGCGCGGAGTGGGGGAGGGCTTAGGAGACCCACAGGGGGATGACCACCAAAGTGAGGAGGGTGTGGGAGGGGACGGGAATGGACTGGCCGGCGGCGCAGGGGGATGCGAGACGGAACGTGGAGGAGGACGGCACGACAAAGGACAGCGAAGGGGAGAGAGAAAGAGAAGAGAGAAAGGGGGAGGGAGGGGCAGCTGACAAAAGTGGCGGTCGTTTCCAAGAGAAAAAGTTGCGAGACAACGGAAAGGGCTGCTTGCAGTGCAGCGGTGCGCAGTGGCCGGGAATGGCCAGCCAAAGGACAGCCCGAAGGAAGGACAGCCCTAAGGACAGAGCCGAGCAGGGCAGGGCGGTCCCACGACGCGGTGTCACGCGCGCCAGATCGAAAGCAGCCAGCGTGTGTGTGTGTGTGGTGTGTGTGTGTGTGTGTGTGTGTGTGTGTGTGTGTGTCGCCCTGAACCTGGAGAAGGCCTGTGTGGCGGTGTGGCGGGCAGGGGGCGGTTACGCCCCTAATGTACTAATGTGCCATCGCCGTGCTGTGCTGTTCCCGTGTTGTGTGGTGCGGCCCCCCTCTCGCATGCCAGTAAGCGCGTTTGTGAGAAATGTAATTCATGGAAGTGGTCGTCAGGGCCTTGCTGCGCGCCGCCCCCGCCGCCCCCACCGCCCCCGCGCCGCCCCCGCCGCTCGGCGCAGCGAGCGAGCGGCGAGCGCGGCGAGCGTGGCCATCGTGGGGTTGTGTGTCAGGGATGCCGACATTCCAACAGCATTCTATTTTCCCTGATATAGCCACGCACACATCCACATGCCCACACACACGGCGGCTGCGGGGCAGCCGAGACGTGACATGGAGGCGGCCATGCTTCCAATTCCCCCGCTCCGATGTTACGTCACTTACCCCAAAGGGGCAACGGAACGGGCACACATGTCGTATATTCTACCTGTCCTCTGGTGGGGCCCGGGCGGCCCTGGGCGGGGCGGCCGCGCGGGGGTGCGGACTGGCGGGACTGGCGGGACTGGCGCGGGCGGTCGGTTGGGCCCTTGGGGCCCTTGGGGCCGCACAGTGGCGCTACCACACAGCCCTCCACACTCGATGCTTCCCACCCCACCCGCTACCCCAAAGTCGCCCTGTCCAGTGAGTACACCCCCGACCCGCCCAGCGGGCCCAGCCCGCTCGCCGGGGTCATAACACTTAGGGGTCGGGCCGTCAGGGTGTGGGCCAGCAGCGCCGGCGGCCACCGGCCAAGCCAGCGCAGCCTTAGCGCAGCCCACGAGGCCAGCAGTGACGGATAAAGGCTGCAGATAGAGGCAATGGGTGTAGATTAGGGCAACGAGCGGCCACGCGGCGACGCGGCGACGAGCGCGGACTCCGCGGAGAACGCCAGACTTCTACGACTCCGCGGAGAAGTGGTCGCCAGATTCGCCCCCGTTTTCTCGATTTGGCAGTCGTCCTCTGCAGACCGCGTTCACCGCGACGCCCAAGCTCCAGTGTGCCACCAGAGCGGGACGCTGCCGTCGGCGTCGTGGCTTCGCGTGGCGGCAACAAGGCAGCGAGGCAGCGAACCCTCCTGTTGAATCAGCCGATCGCGAGGACCCCGCCACCACACCGGGCCGCCCCGGGCCGCCCCGCGCCATCAAGACCCCCCAGGCGCCGCGCCCGGCCGCCTGGCTGCCTCCACTGGGTGCCACTGAGGCGAGCCGGCGAGCCACTCCACTGGCACTACTACGCACTACCACCACGACGCCAAAGTCCACGCCGGCCGGGTGTCGCTGGTGTCGCCGTCGCACAGCGGCCGAGCCCTTTCGCCGGGCGCCCTGGCCGCCCGGTCCTTTGGCCGGGTAATTCCAAGAAAACGGGGTCGCCCTAACCCTAACCCCTGCGGCGTGGCGTGGCGGGCCGTCCTGCCGGCCGGGGGTAGCCATGGTACAGCCCTGGTATTACGCCCGCCAGTGTATGTCCTGCCCTTCCAGCAGCACCACTAGCGCCGCGCAGAGGGCGCCGCTCACCCCTTTCCACGAAGAGTCCCCACCGAGTCCCCTCACTTCGCATCAACCCGCCGCCCTCGCTATATTCGGTCTTTTATACCTCCTCGGCCTGTGAGGCCTGCGCTGCGAGGCCTGCCTACCCTGCCTCGGGCCTGCCCTGCCTCCCCTCCCCTCCCCGCGCCCTTCGACCCTTTCACAGCGCCTCTTTTGCCGTCCACCCCCACGCTCTACTTGGCGAATGCAATGAGTCCGTAGTGCTGCCGAAAAGCGCGGCGACTGCACCGCCTCCGCATTGCAGTTGCATTGCAGCGCCCTTAGCGGGCTGCGAGGCTGGCGGGGCGCGGCGCGGGGGTGGAGGCTGGATACCGGTACAGCGGGCTGGCTGGCTGCGCTGCAGCGCGCGGACCGGCTCGGCAGCACTACCTCCACCCCGTCATCCCGTCGCACACCCCTCTCGGCTGCCCTGGCCGCCCTGGCCGCCCTGGCCGCCCTGGCCGCCCCCGCAAGGGGTGCCTCCCTCTCTCAACCTGCGTCCCTTCCCCCTCCACCCGCGCCGCTCCCGCCGCTCCCGCCGCGCACGGCAGGTCCCTCCTCCCCCACCCCCCACCTCGCCTCCCCCGACGTGAGGGTGGGGAGGGCCGCCTGGCCCGGCGGGCGGGCTAGGCAGGGCGGCCAGAGCACGCCAGGCAAGCCATAGCTGCCCGTCCCGTCCCGCTCCCGTTCCCGTCCCGCAGCGCAGCACACACAGTGCAGACTTGCCGAGCCGCGGAGGAGGACGAGGAGTGCGAGGACGCACACAGATCCCCGCCCTGCCGGCCCTGCCCTGCCGTGCTGCTGCCCTTCCCTGAGCCCTGCGCCGCACCGCCGCGCCGCGCCCGCCGTGTCGCGTCCCGCCTTGAGCCAGTCCCAGTCCTGCGGCCACCGGCCACCTCGCTCGCGCCAAGCTCGCGGCAAGCTCGCGCCAGTCCCAAGGCCCACAGGCCCCCGGACAGGCCACTGCTCGTACCGGCCGGCGACGACCTGCACAGCCCGGCGCCTCCGCGACGCGCGCCCCGCGAAGCGACGACCAGTGCCACCGAGTGTGTGATTGTGTATGTGTGTGCGTCGGGTGAGGGTGGAGTGACACGACGAGACGACCGCCCCGCCGCCGCGCGTGACACCCACTGCGTGACACCCACTGCGTGACAACCTCGCGACAGCGACCAGCAGGATTTTATTGGCCGCGCTCTTCGACAAGGTACGTGTCTACTACTCCCTCGCGGTGTGTGCGCGCATATATGTGTGTGTGTTCGATTCCGGCCTGCACGGAGGCAAGTGTTGTCATGAATAACTGCTGCGGGGTTACTGAACTGAACTTGCCGTGTCGGGCCATACGTTGACGTTGCCAAGGACCTCCCTCACTTTTGGACGTCCGGCATATCCTTGCCGGTGGCGCCCGAGGGTCAGATGCTTGGCCTCAGTGATTTTTCCACTTCATTCAGTTCAGGATGCAGGGCCATAAGGACGCCACTGGCGGTCTGCCCTGAGGACGGGCCCCGCCGCCCTGCAGCTCGCCGTCGTGCATGATTAACGCGGAGGGGCTCCCATATTGATCTAATCCGCTTCTTTGCAGGGCGACCCTTTCGCGGCCCGTTGCACGTCCCCGTCGTCGCGCCGATAGCCGCAGCCGCCATGTCGGCCAAGAGGAAGGCCAGCATACCCAAGGTGAGTGCCGGCGTTGTTGTGGTCGTTGAAGGCGGCGGTGGCGGCCGAGGGAAGTCCCACCCAGCGCCAGTCTCGGCCTGTTGGGCCTGTGGCCGCCCGGCCCGGGTCGCCGCACCGCACCGCCACTTGACACAACAATCGCGCATTTTCTGGCGATCGAACGCAACGCCCCCTCTTCCACCCCCCTTCTCCCTCGGACTCTATACCGGCTGGGACCGGAGCCCCCCTCCCCGGCAGGCCCGAACTATACCATCATGGTGCATCATGGCAACATGGCTAGGAGATGCCTGTTTTTCATGCCTTCGCGGAACGGAGCGGCAGAGAACCACGCCTCGAAAGGGAAGGATGATGTGCGAGAGGTGGCGTGGCTGTGTGGATGTGTCTGCCCTTTGAAGGGTTTTGTACCTGACCTGTGCGGGGCCCGCAGCCACTGGGGATCCCCCCGCCCCCTCACCTCGGCACAAAGCGATCCGAGCGAGAGAGAGAGAAAGGCAGATAGAGAGAGAAGCCCGGTGCGGTCAGAAAGGCATCGAGGGAGGGGTGGGCCGACGGCGCACTTTCTGCGTATTGGCCCTCAAACACCACACAGGCACTACACCACTACACCCACGCAACCTGGAAACTTCTTGCGCCCGAGTCATGAAATACTTTACTCGTCCAAAGCCCGAGGGGAGGGGGGAGGCTGGGGCGCTACACATGCATGGGGGAAGCGGAGGGCGAGCGGCAAAGGGTCTTTGCGAAGGGACGGGGCGAGATAGGAGTGACTCACTGGGAGGGGAGGGACTAGTACGGTTTGTGCGCCCTTATTGTGTGAGCGTGTGTGTGAGTCAGTGTGTGTGTGTGTGTGTGTGTGTGTGAGTGAGTGAGTGTGTTGGCTTGCGTTAGGAGCTGGCCATCCCTCGCTGCTGTACTCAGGTCGTCGTTAGTTTTTCATGTGATGCTGGGTCCCTGTTTCTGCCCTTGCCTTGTCCCGTTTTTTATCTAATTTATATTTCACCATCATGTGCGTGTGTGTGTTTGTGTGTGTTTTGGAAAGGTAGCGTCCGACTTTGTGTGCCGGAGCATAATGGTGACTGGCAGTTGGCTGAAAGTTGTTTCAAAAAGACAAGCGCACGGCGAGTCAAGCGGCGGAGTCAGATGGATATGGAGTGGGGTTCCCGCGTCTCCGGCGTTCGGTGTCCGCAAGGCGCAAGGTGTCCGCAAGGTGTCCGCAAGGTGTCCGCAAGGTGTCCGCAAGGTGTCCGCAAGGTGTCCGCAAGGTGTCCGCAAGGTGTCCGCAAAGTGTCCGCCGGCAGCCTTCATCCTTGAGGCGTCGCGACGCCGCCGGGCCCTTGAGGCACCCGACTGGAGGCGCCTTTGTCGCGGCCTCAATGGCTGGGCCTCAATGGCTGGGCCTGAATGCCTCGACTGACCTTCCCGGCGGCCGCCACCGGGCAAATCGCTCTCCGTGAACTGAGACACCAACAGGCATTGCCCTCAGCCCAGCCAACAGGTTGCCCCCCAGCGACCCGAAAAAGACATGAGTTCGGAAACCGATAATTTGTTCGGGAAAACTCGCGTAAAATGCGCGTGGCGCGCGGTGAGGATTCCCCTTTAGATGCTGCAGCTTGCTGGCCGCGCGCGGGGCCGCTGCCCCCCCCCCCCCTGGCCCGTCTGGTCCGGCAACGCTGCGGGCCAGCCTGCGTACGGCCCTGTCCTAACCTACCCGGTCCGACCCGATCTGCAAGCCGCGGTGCATGGGCCAACCACAACAACAACAACGCGCAGGTCCCCGTCGTCACTGCCGCGGACTGCTCCTCTGGTTTTGCTTGTTCTTGTTGTTTCCCGCCATCGATCCACGCGTGCAGCTTCATTCCGCGTTTTTGTTTCTCGCTCGGCCCCACCGCTCCACCCGGCGAAAAGCAGCGGCACGACCCACTTCGGGGCCTTATTGTTTCGCATTTCGCTACGTTCGCGTTTGTGTGTGTGTGTGTGTGCCACACAGCATCGCGAATGCCACTCTCCGGTTTTTGTTTCGTTCTCTTTCATTATTTTTTTGGGAGGCTGGGCCCGTCCCACCGTGGCAGCCGGTGCGAAACACTGACCCTTCCCGTTCCATCCGCGGTGCCAGTGCCGCCGCGTGTGTTGAGAACTGGAAAGCTGCTTCCTATTTCAAACAAACAAGTCTCAAAAATCGAATTTTTGCAATTTTGATTTTCGTGAGGGAAGAAGTCTCAGCAGTGTGCTAACTGCGTCTGCTGTGCTGAAAACGAGAGGGCCAAGACCGCGCGGAGAGGGAGAGGGAGAGGGGAGGGGGAGGGGAGGGGGAGGCCGCCTTGTCGCGGGCCGAGGACCGCGAGCGAAGCGCGGCTTGGCTTGCGGCAGGTCAGTGAGGTGGCGGCGCGGCACGGCGCGGCTCGGCTCGGCACGGCGCGGCAGGCACGGCGCGGCTGGCTGGTCTTGCCGGCCGAACTGGCCGCTGCGAAGCGAAAGGGAATGGGCGGCTATCCGACGCAGAAGCTCCGCCGGGGACACTGGGCTTCGAATATCCGCACCTCCGCTCCTTTTTCTTTCGTTTCTTCCTCTGTTTGTTTTGGTCAAGGTCTCGCCCCGCGCGCACTAGCGAGTGCGGGTCGACCTCTAGCCTCTCGGCCCCTTCTCCGCGTAGAATATCTGCGCCAGTCGAAAAAGAGAGGGGGGGGGAGAGGTTGGTTTATCGAACTCGGAAGCTGCCGGTTGGAGTAATGGAGTGGCTGGCCCGCGCGGACATCATTGATAAGCAATAGTGAAACTCGCAGTGCAGCTATCTGGCCCGCCGTCCGCGTGTCCGGGTGCCCCGCCGTGTGCCCGCTCAGGGTCGGTTCAGCCCAGTTCAGCCGGTACTACACTTTATGGCCGAGTGCTTCCCCCGAAACGCGGCGCCCCGCGTTGCACCGTTGTATACGAACCTGTCCCACCTGTCTTTGTAATTATTGCCCTGCGATAAGCGGGTGATATAAAGGCCCTGCCCGCAACTTTACAAGCGGCGCCCTGCACGTCAGTTTTTTTTTTGTTTTTGTTTTTCTGTGTGCTGTCAGGTTTTACTTACACACTGTACTATATAGCACAGTGGCAATTCAGCAATGCCGGCCTTGGCTTTCCCGTGGTGACAGCTCTCCAGTTGTAATAAGAGAAAAATATCTCGGTGATCCTACTGCCCCCCCCCCCCCCCCACACACACACACAGACGCTCCTCTCCCTCGGCAGAGACATGCACCCCTGCTTATTGCAAGGAGCGGGACTAGTTCCCCCACCTGCGTGTCACCTTGGGCCTGTGCCTCCCCCCCCCCCTTTTCCCCTTTTCCCGTCCGGTGTAGGGTACACAAATTATTGATGGTAATGCATCCAGCTGTGGTTGAAGGGGGGGGGGGGACCGGCCGGCCGGACGCTTTTAGGCACCGCGACGCGTCCGTGACCGTTTTCATAGTGGACTGGCGCCACCGGAGCTTCAGGCTTCAGTGGGCCACCGCGCCATCCCGCCACCCTTGACAAATCAAAGGTTCGTTTCCACCTGTTACACAAGCACGGTTGACTTTGCACTTGGAGCTTTTTTTTTCGGAGCGACGCCTGGAAGTGGAGCTAGCCGATTGCCAAGCGTCTCGTCTCGTCCTCGCTCGCTGGCCTTGCCTGGCCAGTCCGGTGTGACAACGGCGAGGCGGTGTCCGAGAAGGCCGAGGCCTCCAGGACGTGTCGCCGGCAGGCCGCTGGGGTTTTCGGCGGTTCCAGCAGTTCCAGCGGACGGCATGCAGGCCGTCTCTGCGCCTCCGTCATTCGCAGAAGCAGGGACGGGCAGGAAAAAACGGAAAAGGGGACGTGTAAGTAAAAGCAATAGTGAACCTGCTTGTCCCTTTCTTTGGGGGTGGCAGGCACGGCACGGCACGGCAGGGCGCGGCGGGGCGCGGCAGGGTCTTCCGAGGGGTGGAGGGTCGTCCAAGGATGCGGTGGACAAAGGCAGCGAACGCATTTCTTGCTTGTTTTCTGGCGCGGGGGCGGTGCGGGGGCGGCGCGGGGGCGGCGCGGGGAAGGGGTGCAGGCATGGACGACGAGGGGATCCTTGCCGTGTGAAAGAGCGCGCCGCCGTGGCGTGCCGTGGCGTGCCGTGGCCAACCGGCCGAATGAAAGGAATCCTCAACCCTCGTTCTCTGGAATGGCAGCCGGGGAGTGGCGTAGGACGCAGGGCGGCGTCGACGCGGCGTCGCAGGACGACGCGATGGTCACCGCCACGTCGAGGACGCCGCAGGATGCCGCAGGACGCCGCCGTCGCCACGGATTCGGGGGCCTTTTTACTCTGGAATGCGTGGGGGCGTGGGGGTGGAGCGGCCGGCCCCTGCGAGGCCCCAGCGGGGCCCCGGCGGCGGCGCCAGACTGGTGGAGGCCACGCCGCCACGCCACTGCCGAGGGCGCCGAGGATGTCCGGGAGGGGGAGGGGGAGGGGGTTGATAAGAGAATTCGCGGGGCGACGTGCGAGCATCGCGCAGAGTGACTGTTTCATTCCGCGTGTCCGACGGCCTGGGGGTGGGGGAGTCCTGGAGACACAACGATGACAAAAAGAAAGCGGATGGGCCGCTCCCCCGCCCCTTATTCCTCTTCTTCTTCTTCTTTGGCCGTTGGCGGCGTTGGCGGCTCACCTGAGTGAGTGAGGCAGGTCGGACCTGACTCACATAAAAGCAGTGTGTGTGTGTGTGTGTGTGTGTGTGAGTGAGTGCGGGTCGAGGGGTGACCCACTGAAACATTTGGTGTACAATGATTGTGTGAATGTGCAAGAATGTGCAAGATTTCTAGCGTTTTTGCCACACATGTTGCCTACTTACAGGCGTTTTTGCCACCTGAATGTGGAATGTGGTCAAATTTTGTACAATGAATGTGGGAAGCTGTTCCCCCCTCGGTGCGGGTGTGGGGGAAGGTAAGCTGCGGATTGCAAGCGAGCGATGATACGGCGAGTGGCGGGGACGGCACGGCGTGGCACGACGGCACCGGCAAGG